CAAAGGTTCGTGGTGAAACTTATTCCATTCCCCTCATTTGATGTCTTTATTGATCCTTGTTTGCTGCCAGGGAATTTCCGAAGCAGCTTCGTCAGTTTGTGGTTCATATCGATTCCTTAGGCTAGATCTCGTAAGATCATTGTATAGGGTCAGTATGTGGGGATCGACGGGATGTGATGTATTGTTTTAGAAATATGATTTATATGTGCTTATAAAATTAGTGGTTTTGCAGGATCGAGATACACTTTATTATCACATTGTTTGAACTAAGAGCTTTCGTACTCTGTGTTCATTAGGTGATTGGGTTCACCAGGGATATTCAAACTAAGTGTTCATTAGATATTTGAACTTAGTGTTCATCAGGGATATTTGAACTAAGTGTTCATTAAGTGTTTGTGAACTAGGTGTTCACTGGGTAATATTGGAACTAAGTGTTCATTAGGTGTTCTTGAACTAGGTGTTCATTAATTATTGTGAACTGCGTGTTCACCAGAGGTAATCTTAGAACCTTGGCAGCACTAGACTTTGTGCCAGTTCCTTAGGGCAATCCTTAGGAATGAATGGGAGAAGGGTAATCGGTTCTTAGGATAAATCTTTAAGAAATAAAGGAAGATAATGGGGATGGATAATTGGATTGATTGTTTGATAAGTGAATATAATAATTATATTATTTTGGGTTGAAAACCCTATATGCTCACCAGGCTCCCAAGCCCGACCTTCTCAGTTTTATTTGTATTACAGGTTATGGCACGAGAGCATAAGTTGGTTGACATAACGAGAGATTTTGGATTATAGGCCACTAATTATGAATAACTGTTTTAAGGTCTATTTTGTTCTGTTTATGCTTTTGGTTTGTATTGAATATGATATCCCTAGATTTTGTTATATAATGAAAATACATTTTTTTAAAGAAATGCTTTGATAAATTCTTATCATATTTTATTTTGGGAACAAATTCCGCAACTGTTTTCTTTAAAAGATTTCTCTGATTTTAGAAATAAAGCATAAACAAATCGGACTTTTCTGACCGTGAAATTGGGGATGTCACAATATATAAGCTTGATCTTTAGGTTTTGAGGAACGCGTGAGTCATCATGATATTTACGGAAATTTAGTGGATGTTTTTTACATATTTTATTGATTTTTTCGGATTTTTTTCTTTAAAATGAGCGAATGGACCTTACATTCAGAATTTTTGGAGAGTCTCTTACCCCTAAAGAATGATGTGGTTTTCCCGTTGTACCCCTTGTCCATCACTTAACATCTTCCAGCTACTTGTATATGGCGTTTGAGAGTCGTTCATAGCCTTGCCTCTGCTTCTATATACCATTTGCATACATGTATTCCGCTACCCTTTTATTCTTCTAGCTTACCAATACACACCATTTCTACTAACCATAGCTTCTTTTCAAACCAATAATTTTAAGGTTTTTTTCTCCTTTTCAAGCCAATACTAATATATACTTATATAAACATATAAGGAATAAAAATATATACATGTGGAAGAGGAATCATTATCCAACGCAAGCTTACAAAGTCAAGCCATGCCAATGAAAGCAAAGCCTCGTCAGTGTCATGCAGAGCAAAGCTCAGACTATATCATGCAAAGAAAAGCTTTGCATGTGGCATGCAAAGAAAAGCTTTGCATGTGGCATGCAAAGCAAATACGCATCTATATGATGTAAAGCAAAGGTCATACAAAGCAAAGCAAGGCAAAAATTTCTTGCATTGTATAGTTGGGCATGGAGATGTCATGTAACATGGGTCCATCTAAGCCATGTAAAATGGGTTCGTCTCATCGAAAATTCGTCTGGGCCATGTAACCTCGGGCTGTATCTGCCATGTAACTGCACTACAAGAAAAATGTGATTTTCCTAGGGAATGATTTCGTTGCGTAAAGCTGAAATTCTGTTGCAAAAGATGAATAGCGTCAGAATTTTCGACGACCGATTTCCATCCCAAAAAACCTCGTAGTGAGGGTTTGCTAGGGAAACAATCATTCCGTCGCAAATGTAACAACATAATGAAATCCATTGTAGATGGTATTCCATCGTGTATTCCGTAGTAGGATTCCATCACAAATGGTAGTGAATCCCTAGCAAATTTCGTGGTGGTGAATCCATAGTAAATTTTATGGTGGTGGTTCCCTAGCAAATTCTGTGGTGATGAATCCCTAGCAAATTTCGTGGTGGTGAATCCCTAGAAAATTTTGTGGTGGTGATTTTCTAGGAAATTTCATGGTGATGAATCCCAAGAAAATTCAGTGATGGTGAATCCCTAGCAAATTCCGTGGTGGTGAATCTCTAGTAAATTTTGTGGTGGTCATTCCCATGCAAATTCCATGGTGATGAATCCATAGTAAATTCTATGGTAGTGAAGCTGTAGCAAATTCTGTGGTGATGAATCCTTAGCAAATTCTATGGTGGTGATTTTCTAGGAAATTTTGTGGTGATGAATCATTAGCAAATTATGTGGTGGTGAATCCCTAGCAAATTCCATGGTGGTGAATCTCTAACAAATTTCGTGGTGGTGAATCCCTAGCAACTTCTGTGGTGATGACTCCCTAGAAAATTTTGTGGTCATGAATCCCTAGCAATTTTCGTGGTATATATTCTATAACAGATTTCGCGAAGGTTGATAAACTATTGGTGGAGTTGAAAGACTTAGTTTCGACATCAGGGTATTCTTCATCATCTCTACTTACTCTAGACTTTTTGAATCAAAAGTTTTGTTTATTGGAGTCCAACATTCAAAAGGAATTGGCCCAACTCGCAAAATTTGTCAATTATATGTCAATGGATGCCCTACCTATTTGCACAGGGGTGCAAGGGGGAAAAGGTATTGGTGTTGGCATTGGGGGAAGTTCGAAATTTGGTACAGGAGGTAGTGGTTCTAGTAAAACTGATAATTACGCGAAAGTAGTTAGAAAGATTTTGACTACTCAAATTCCAACTTCGTTACTAAAAACATCCATGATAACAACATCAACATCAACAACAAAACCCATAACAAGGGCATTGTGATTGGATCTGTTGGTGGAGGTTCAAGTTCATCTTCGAAACCTCATCCACCAAAAACATCTTAAGCTGATAAAAACAAGGGAAAATGCATAAGCATTAAGCTTACAAAGGAAGAGAAGAAAGCTGCAATTGAAGCAAAGATTGAGAAACAAAGACAAATTCAGAGCATTCTTCGTCAAAGAGCAAATGATCCTCTTGGTATGGAAAAAGGAGATCCTACAAAACATTACTGCTACGAGTATATCGAAGCAACAGTTGTGACTGAAGAAATGCATGATTTTGAGAAAATACCAAAAAAGAGTTTTGCCACTGAGAACACTGATTTTAATCAATAGGATTTTCCGATCAATAAGATGATGTTCTTATCTTCCCAATATCAAATTGCTGAGAAGTTTGATAAAGAAGAATTTAAAAGAATGAAATTTCGATTTTATGTTGTGTTGGGAAAGAAAGAAGAAGAGATATGGTCTTTGGTCAAAATTGTTCGAATTCTCAATATCTCCAAGGATGTGTTATTTGAAAGAGTATTGCAGAATTATCGGTTTCATGTTGTTAGAGCAAATAATGTGGCATTCGATTTTTCAGTTGCGAACTTTCCCTTGATGAACCTTCATGACTTGATATGTGTTGCTAGAATCTTGAAGGGTACTAATTTTTCGATGTTTCAGCTAACAAACAAAGAAGATTTTATGATTGGATTTGTGCACATCAAGTTATTCATAGATAACTACTATGAAAACCTGGCATTGACTAATGTTCAGTTAGCTTTAGCAATTGGGAAGGAAATTACAGTACCTCAATCTTTGTTAAAGAGCAAAGCAGACTTAAAGCCTTTTGTTGATGGTGAAATTTGCTTGAAGCCTTTGGGAATAGTTTTTGTTGGGAAGAACAAGAAAGGAAACAACACGAAGTTCTTGTTCCAAGCATGTGATGTAGAAATATATACAACTGCTCATTATACGAATTTAATTGTGCGTATGAATAGTTGTAAGAAGAATAATGAAGGTAACAAGGCTGAGATCAAGAAGATTACGAACTGGTATTCTGAGATTAGAAGAGTGATTCATCAAGCAGAACAGATGCTATTGACTTAGATTTGACATTTCTCACAAAGGGGGAGAATGTTGGGGTCAAATGTTTTTGTGAGATGTCGAATATGTTTAGATCTTTCAGAGTGTCGAAAGTCTGTTTGTAAAGTTTATTATAAGGGCATTTATGTTTCGAAATTGTAATGTCGAAGTCGCTTATATATTTTGTTTGCTTTCTTTATCCCTATAAATATGGGATGAATACATGTCTTAGAGGTTAAGAATTTTTACACACTCATTGTACTCAATAACCTCTTGTATTCTCTGAAAGCATTATATTGAGCCAACCAGATTATATTTAGATTCGATGTTATAAATCTTTTCTAAACTCTCATTTCATATTCAAACTTGATTCAATCTACACTACACGTTTTAAAGATTTTATTCAAACTTGATTCTAAACTCACCAGATGTCATTGTTCAAGATAGTATTCATATAGTGTTTGTTTATAACACTCGGTAAATGAAGGTAATATTAATGAAATATTTTACAGATTAAAAAAAGCTTCTAGAACGTCCGAACAAGTATTTGTAATTTGTAAACTAGCTTTTGTAAAATTTCAATATGTAAAAGTTCAAATTTCTTTTAAAATTTATATAAACAATGCACTCTTTGTAGTAATCTATAATTAACTTCAATTCTTATTTTAACAACATTTCAAAAACTTTTCATTATGCTCACCATATACAAGAAGGCTTTCCTAAAGTCAAATAAACTTCTTCTAGCGTGTCGATGATATAACTAAACCCCGGGCGACAACGTACATTACTTGTACATTGTTTTATCAGCCTACATATAAAAAAATCTTATGTTATATACTTATTTTCATATTTCATGACACATTTTATTTGTTGAAAATGAAAATTAAAAAAGATATGAAAATATCATGACTCACTGTTGAATTCTTGCAGGACATTTAGCATTGAATGTCATTTGGAAATCAAGAGATTTGAGATGTATCATGTCGGGTATGTACTTTGCTTCAACCATCTGTAGTAAAAATATTAATGGTGATTGTAGCAATATAAATTATTTATTTGTACTATTTGAGAATTGAAATTTTGATTTATTTATATAGGTTAATGTTAAATGAATAACAAACTATTTGTTTATTTTACAAAACAACATTGTCCTACAAACAATACCATAAATGGATCATAAATTATTTTTAGTTCACAAAATATTGTACTTTGTAAAGAAAAATTACATAAAAGTCATTATATTTTGTCAATGAAAACAACCAAAGTTTGCCCATTATTTTTATGTCAACCACTTTGACTTGTTATATATAGCATGTTAAAATAGTAAACCACAAAAGTAGTTAAAATATAGTGGTTTTTATGTATTTTTCATTTTTGTAACCACAAAAATTTCAATTGTTAACCTATAGTATTTCTTTAAAAGAATGGTATTTTTATTTTGTAAAAAAACAAATATTTTGTTACTTATTTACGATGTTATTCATATTTATATTGAATAAAGTTACCTGATAGAATATGAGTCCAAATGACTGGATGTCTCTTCCTTTATTAATTAGTTGTTTGTTGATTGTTCCCGAGTTTTGAGCTAAAAATACAAAATAATTTATTGGACATAACAACATGATATAATAATCTTATAATAATTATTAAAAAAAAAAAAGTGTGAAATATACTTTCTTGATTTGGATGTAGCTCATACAACATTTGTACCCAATATTCACCAATCTTTAAATGGCCACCTTCATCTTGTAATAAGTTTCTGAACAAATACAAAACTGCAACTTTAAATTTTTCAAAATCGTTATGCATTAATATGATTGAGTGGTTTTTAAATATTACAATGTCTTAATAAAAAAATAATTGAAAGTACATGAAAATAGAATATTATAATACGCAAATAAATTGAAGTGTATTGCTATTAATTTACAATATGTTTTTTACTGATGAACTAAAACATTTATATAAATCCACATATTGAATCTAGACATAAGCTTACTTAGGATCGAGATGATTGTGAATAATAGGGCAAGGCTTGTGATGATGAAGATAATTCATCCCCCTGTCAAATATTTTATAATATTTTTCTTATTAATAATTTAAATTTAAAATTGAAACAAACGGATAGCATATGAACTAGAAAGTGAGAATAGAAAGTTTTATGGGAAATTACGATCATACACCAAAAGTTCAAAACAAGTTCCATTTTATTAATTGAAAATTTATTATTTATTTCAAAAAACAAGTTCTATCCTTCTTAAAATATTTGTAAGAAATAGTTTTACTAAATTTATATATTGTAGACGATAAAGAAAAACAATACCTAGCAATATCAAGTGCAAAACGCAAAGCAAGGTGTAGATCAAGTCCAATCTTTTTTTTCAAAATATCATCTAAGCTTCCCTAAAAATAAGATAAGACCATTAGATAAATTATTGGCTTTTACGAGTTAAATCATATCCACCAACATCCATTTCTACAAAACATTTATTCTTTCGCTATGCTGTCTTATCCAACATACTCACTAAATAGCTGATGTAAAAACCCAACAACCAATAGGAGAGGGATCCATATTGGAATAAAAATTCCATATTAGGGTTTACATAATTAAATATTGTCAAAGATTTGAAAAAGAGAAAATTACAAATATAACTTAATCCCTTAATTATTTTGTGGGAAAAAGTATAAAAAAAAAAAAAAATAGTCATTAAAATCGTAGATTGACTTAGTGCATGTGCAATTTTACTTGTCCATTTGTGATTTTGTGATTTCCCCTTTTTTATGGGTATAAAATTGTAATTTTTTTTTCTTTCATTTTTCAAACTTTTTGTTGGAGAATTTTCTCTCTAGAGACAATATAGACTAATTTATTTTATTAGAAAGGTTTGAAATAAATTTTCTAAAAACTTAACAACAAAATGATAACTTTTTGCAAAACTTTATATATAATAAGGTTCTATTAATATCTTAGTTAAAAATAATAAAAAAAAAAACGCAAAATCACAGGTGGGATGAGAGGAAATCGCAGATGAACTTAGTTCATCTGCGATTTTAGTCAAAGATGGAGGTATTTATGCGGAAAAAATAAAAATAAAAAAACTAAAAAAAAACATCTGCGAACGTCCAGTTCGCTAAAGCACGTGCTTTAACGATTTGTACGTTTGCATATGGCTTAAAAATCGCAGATGAGTTTAATCCATCTGTGATTTTGGTGACTAAAAATGTAATTTCGGTTACTTTGGCTATTTTCCACAAACTACTTAACATATTTGGCTAAATTTGTAATTTTCTCTTTGAAAAAGGAAATGAAAATAAAAATGTGTGCTTACTCTTGACAAATATTCTGTTATTAATATCATTTTTCCATCATGCTTAATAGAACCAAGAAACTGCAAAATGTTTGGATGACGAAGTTCCCTTAATCGTGTATTATCATTAGCAGACAAAACCCTAAATAAAGTTTAAAGAAACATGTTAATAGTTTTGTTAACCATCTTAAAATACTTAATTAAAATTACGAAATAAAAAATAAAAATAAAAATAAAGCCAACATTTTGACTGGAAAATCTATTTGTCTTTTGATTTTTGTTTTGACAACCCACGTTCCCCTCCACTTCACCTTTTTAGATTTACCAAATACACCCTGATCATCACAAACAGTTCAATATGAATTAATGGTGTATCGATTTTGATTAACATGTAAAAACAATCAAATGTTCATGCTTAAACCTGTTCGATATCTTCTGAATTCTCGGAGTTTATCTCAGATATTTCGATGTTCACTTCTTTTGCATCTTCTTCATAACGAACTGTCTGAAACATATCGATTGAATGAATACAGATTGATAATTTAGCATAATTTTGAGAATCGTTGGCATAATTGGGAAAAATAGCAGCATCAAATTACATAGAAAAGGATTAAGAAGTACGAAAATACCATTGGGCTGTTCATTATAGAGTCCTTTCCTCCATTGACCTCGAGAATCCTGCAAATATCTCGATGTCCATATAATCTCGCATCTGTCAAAGGCTAGAATTCAACGAGAAAAAGGATTGAATTACATTAATTGTTGTTAAATCTAATCATCAAATCGACAATCATTTCGAAACCCTAGGAAATTAACAACGAAAACCTAATTCTTACAGTTCTGTGCCATCTATCATCGAGATTAACATCGGCCTTGTAGTGTAGAAGAAGCTCTACAATCGAAGCATGACCTTCACTGGCAGCAAGATGAAGAGCAGTTCTGTTATCATAATCCTGCACATTAGGAGAAATGCCCTCTCTCAACATCATATTAAGCCCAACCCTATCACCTCTCGAAGCACAACTGAGAAAGTTTCCGATCCTTTGCATTTTAAAATCATCTGTGATGTCTTTTTCGCTGGATTGATACGCCATAGCTGAAGAAATCAACAAACCATAAATTATCAAACAATATTAGAGAAGAATTGATGAGTAGCTAACCTTACGAATGTGATGATTACAGGTGAAACCCTAAGTGAATTACCCAAATTGAAATTGTTGACAAGAGATGGAATCAACAACATAGGTGTACGAAAGTGTTTGTATTTATATTCATTGAGGTTTTGGAAAAGGGCGGGTAAGTCTAAGGAACAGTTTTGTTATTAACGACCATTTCCATTTGTCCACAATTTAAAAATATTTTTTTATTAGAATTTATTATTAGAGAAAATGGATATTTGTCTATAGAACAAGTAATTCACTGCGGTTAATGTTAAGCCAAACACTAAAACCAAGAAAATATATTTGTTATGGATTTGTTATTAACGACCACTTCCATTTGTCCACGATTTAAAAATATTTATATTAGATTATGTTGTTAAAAATGGATATTTGTCTATAAAAACAAGTAATTTATGGGTAGTGAATGTATTTTTCTCGGTTTCAGCAGTTAAATCTAGATTACAAACCTTTTATTTATTGAGTAATATATATATATATATATATATATATATATATATATATATATATATATATATATATATATATATATATATACTAGCCGTTACCCGCGCACAGCGGCGGGGACAAATAGCTTCTTTCAACGATATTTTTTTAAAGAAAAATGTTATGTTCTAAAAGAAAGTTCATGTCGTGGGTGAGAGGAAGGGCGGTAGTCGTGATAGTGGTTGATTGAATACGAAAGGAGGCAGAGCGGCTGTGGTGGTGGTGGTTATACTGTCTTGGTTACTGGTTAGGGTTCTTCGAGAGAGTGTGCGTATATTTCTTACTTTGAAGGGATTACGAAGATAGATATTATGAGATTGTTTGTTACCAATGTGAGAGAAGAGATCCTCTATAAATTGTTAACATTGACCGCTTCAAATGGTTGAAGTGTTGAGATTGACGGGTTCAATTTGCAAATGAATTCTTCTATTAATTTGATACGAGATTTTTAAGGGATAAAGGATATGGTTAAAGTTTTAATATTATTATATTATAAATGGGTTGTACTTCAAGCTTAATAGTTTGGACGTCTTAAAAAAATAATATTATTATATTCAATCTATTTATAGAAATAGTTAGATTTCTTTATAAGTAGTAAATATATATATATATATATATATATATATATATATATATATATATATATATATATATATAATGATGGTTCATCTCTGAAAAATGAAAAAAAAAACCATATTTATTCTCTATGTTTCAAAACTCTTACCAATTTGCCCCTTCATAGATCTCAAATACAACAACAAATTGTTCTCCTCTAACATTGAATCCACCACTATCCCACCACACAATTTGTTAAATCATCTATGTTTCGTATCAATCTTCTTTGACCTAAAGAACTTAGACCGTCGGCGAACAAATTCTTCAACGATGATCAGGTGCGAGGTTCCTAATTTATTTCAATTTTTGTTAGGTCTCCCTACAAATATGATGATCCATGTTGAGTAAAATTTCAATATTTCTATTGAGTTTCAGAATGTCAACTCATAAAGATTAAAGTTGCAAGTCTGATAAACATTTTAGCACACCCTCGAGATGATTCAACACCAAATGCAAGTAACAAAACCTAGAAAATCATGAGACCCAAAAAATCGGGTTATTTTTAGGACTATGTTCGCAAATATAGCTAGACATCGTACATGACCCCATATGTTCTTCCATTGGAGCTCCAAATTAGGTGTGCAAACGAGTCAAGCTACTCGAGATTGGATCGTCAAAAGCTCGACTCGAAATCGATTTTAAACGATCCCGAGCCAAGCTCGAGCTTAATATTAAGCTCGTTTATTAAACAAGCTCGAGCTCAAGCCTATGTCATTAAGCTTGATTAGGCTCGCGAGCCTAAACGAGCCGTTATATAATATAATTTAATATTATTTTTATATATTAAAATAAAAATATATTAGGGGAATTATGGATTTAGGGTATTAGTAAACGAGCTTCTTAACGAGCTTAAGCTTATTTAGACATGTCAAATAAAAAACGAGTCGAGCCCGAGCCCGAGCCGAGCTTGTATAATTCTTTACGAGCTCGAGCCGAGCTTGTATAATTCTTTACGAGCTCGAGCCAAGCTTGTATAATTCTTTACGAGCTCGAGCCGAGCTCAGTACAAAGAAGCTCGAATCGAGCCGAGCTCGAGCTCGAGCCTTATATAACTTAAACGACCCCGAGCCGAGCCTAGCCAGGCTCGGACTCGGCTCGGCTCGTTTGCACCCCTACTCCAAATGCTCAAGCTGAGTGAGATTCCAAAAGCTTGCAAGAGTCGTACCTTGAAGTTTTTTATGCTCGATTTGTGGATAGATTACCCACTTCTCATCTGATAAAACTATATGTGTCTATTTACATGGATTCAGACTATTTTCAATCTAGTGGCAGGTGGAGAGAATGGTCATGATGGTTGAGAAGCTACTCCAACATTATTGAAGTGGCGAAGAAGATTGGATTTGAAGGTACGTCACATCCACCATGGTAAAGGTTGAAGATGGGGCAAACTTTTGAAACTACTTCACATCCACCATGGTGAAGGTTGAAGATTGGGCAAACTTTAGATGTTCAGGAGATGTTGTTCAAGATCCGGGTTTGATTTTTTTTTTAATTTAATAAAACTATATTTATCTCCATAAATAGATGTATATCCAACCCCAAATAAGAAAAAATTAAGAAGTATATCGGAAAAATCTAACCGGTAATCAGAACTGAAACCTGACTGATGGAACTTGAAAGCAAAAGCTAGTAAATGTAAACTAAAGCTTTTATTTATGAAAGTGTTTAGAGAAAATAGTAATAACTTTTGAAAAATACAAAATATCGTTAAAAAAAAACTAAAAAATTAAAAGTTGAAAAACTACTTTAAGTAGGTTTTAGATTTATAGTTTTTGTTTAAAATGAAAACTTTAAGTACTTATTCACCAACAAAGTTACTTTTCTTTCGATTCGAACTTTTTTCTTAAAAACAAATACTCATAAAAGATTATAAAAGTCGTTTCCATAAAAGTTAGCTAAAATAGCATTGGAAAATGATGTCGTGTCACTAAACGGAAAATTGATATATCACTAAAGTAAAAATAACATCTATTGTTTTTATTTTTTGTTGAAGTTTTTAAACTTTCGTGATTTTGTAAAAGTGTATACGTCTTCATAGATATTTTCAATTAAATGTTTTTACTCATATATATTATTTTCATGATTCATCCTATTATCATCAAACCCACATTGAAAAATAAGTGTTTAAACAACTCAAGCAATATATAAAAACATCATTACATGTCAATCAGACTATTGATCATTAGGTTTAAAAGATCTCAGGTAATAATAATTAAAAAAACTTATTTCTTTGTCAAGATCCTTTGAAATCAATGACACAAAAGAACAATAGGAGATGTTTGGCTTAGCTTTTTAGAGGGTAAAAGATCTTTTTGGAAAAGTTATAAAAAGTTAGGTTTTCTGATTTTTTCAAAAAGTTAATTTTCCTTCTTTGCAAAATCTAAAAGTAGCTTTTACAGTATTTTACCAAATATCTTTTGCTTATGATCTTTTTCTAAAAGGACTTTTGATCATTCAAAAGCTAAACCAAACACCCTCTAGATCTAAAAAGAACTAAAACCACAAACATACCAATACTACATTTTATTTCTATTAGTCCAAAAATGGAATACATAAGTTAATTGCCTTAAAATGCACCTCTCGGGGCGAAAAATCGGCAGTTAGCCACCGAGAAACATGTAAACAAAAAAATGAGCTCAAGACTCGAGCTGATACTCATGACTAAACTAGCTACCCGGATGCACCGAATAAAATTGTATTATAAATAAAGCAAACCAAAAACAATGACAATTAACTAGCATTCTCTTTTGCAATCTTCTCAGCTTTCGCAATCACCTCATCGATTCCTCCAACCATATAGAAAGCTTGCTCGGGAAGATCATCATATTTTCCTTCAATAACACCCTGCATCACATATCATTAATTATTCATTTATCCATTACGATCATTATATAATAATAATAATAACAATGTTGATTTTGAATCCCCAACAAAATTGCTTAGTGTATTCATATATGAGTGGAATATTGTTTATATACCTTGTAATTTAATAATTTATGTGATTGATGATATCTAAATAATCAAACATTTTTTGTAGACATGAATTTGAACACCATTTTTAAGTGGGTATATCTTATATTTTTAACACCATTTTTAGTTTTTAATTTTTCTTTTTGAAAATTCACATTTTTTTTTTTACTTTTATTTTCATATATGATTTAACTTTTCAAATTAAAAAAAATATAAGATTGGATTGGGGAAAATTTTATATACCTGGAAACTGGCGACGCTTTCCTTCAACTCAACGTACTTCCCCGGAGCGCCGGTGAAGACTTCTGCAACATGGAAGGGTTGACTCAAGAAACGCTGGACCTTACGAGCACGAGCAACAGTTAGTTTATCGTCTTCACTAAGCTCATCCATTCCTAAAATGGCGATGATATCCTGCAGATTCTTATAGTTCTGAAGAACCTTCTGAACGCCACGAGTAGTGTTATAATGATCTTCACCAAGAATCCGAGGAGAAAGCATTCTAGATGTCGAATCCAATGGATCCACAGCCGGATAGATTCCAAGCTCCGAAATCTACATTAAAGTTTTACACCAAATTCAGGAAAAAGATCGTGTTTTAGTAGGAATGATAGAACGATAGCTAGTCTACCTGTCGAGAAAGCACGGTGGTGGCGTCCAGATGAGCGAAGGTGGTTGCCGGAGCAGGATCCGTCAAGTCATCAGCCGGCACGTAGATAGCTTGCACTGATGTAATGGATCCTTTCTTTGTTGTCGTAATACGCTCCTGAAGGCCTCCAAGATCCGTCGCTAACGTCGGCTGGTATCCGACAGCCGACGGAATACGTCCCAACAAAGCAGACACCTCGGAGTTCGCCTACCGGAAAACACGAAAACCATCCATCAATAATGAGAGAGAGAGAGAGAGAGAGATTTTAATGGTGGATACATGCTTCACCTGAGTGAAACGGAAAATGTTGTCGACGAACAGAAGCACGTCCTGTCCTTCAGCATC